TAAAAGGATTCCCCATACTTTCCCATATTTTCTGGGTTTCTGTCTTCCCACCCAATTCCAATATTTTCCCATATTTTCTAGGAAATCGACGATGAATTGTGTCTGTGTGTTTTTTCCCTCCTGACGAAATGCGTCTCGCGAGAAAGTTCTAACCAACAGGGGGGACGGGGCGCCCGAGACCGCCCCGTCCAGAGGCGGTCCGGCAGCCGTTTCGCTCGAGACTGCCTCGACATTGATTCAGAGATCGCGCCTCCTCCTCCTCCTCCTCCTCCTCCTCCTCCTCCTCCTCCTCCTCCTCCTCCTCCTCCTCCTCCTCCTCCTCCTCCTCCTCTCGCCTGAATGCTGGCAACAGGGTCCGGACGGCCACGACCCCTTGCAGAAAGACACTACGGCGCACACGGTCGTGCTCTCACCCTGTCCCGGGTGCATCCCTTCTCTTCTCACGCAACAGCGAATACCCTGCCGCATTTCGCGCGCTTCCTAGGCATACCTAGAAATCCTGGGAAGGCTCGTTTTCACTAGCCGGCCTCCTACTCCGCGACTCGACTCCTAACGCTTGCTGCTATTAGAGCGCCTTGCTGGGGTAATTTGATTCCGAACCAAGAGAGTGGTCTATAGTGGAGGCCTTTTCGATGGAATCCGAGTGGATGGGATCGGAGGATTGCCCCGAATTGCCGATGTATCGCCGATGCATCGGCGACGTCAGCGATGATGCATCGGTGACGTCGGCGTGGAGAAATCTGTCTCCACGTCAAGCCGCATCGCCGATAGATCGGTGACGCGGCGCGATCCTCCGACCCCATCACCTCGGACTCCATCTGGGAAGCCTCTGCTATAGACTACTTCCCTGGTTCGGGATCAAATGCCCCAGCAAGGCGTCCTAACAGCAGCAAAAATGAAGAGGCGTGTCGAGAAGTAGGAGGCTGGCTTATGAAAACGTGAACCCCGAACCCATGTACTCGGACTCCATATGCGAGGGCTAGATGCAAGCCTCTGGGGGGCCCACCCGGTGCAAAAAACACGGCGCCGGAGGTCGTCCGAAGCCTGGCTCACACGCGGTCGCCGCTGGCCGCCAGCGCGCCGTCGCGGCGTCGCCGGCCGCCGCCGCCCCGAGGCGCCGCCGTCGCCGCCGCCGCTGGCCGCCGCCGGCCGTCGCCCTGGACTTCATCAGCCCTCCAAGGTCTCGAGAAACTCAAAGCCGACGTTTTTCTCTATGTTTTGCATTTGGGGGCCGTCGCCGGGCCCTGGGACCGTCAAGAAACGGCTCGGGGTGAAGAGCTGGCCCTGGGGAAAGGGTGGGGACTTCTGAAGCCCCGCAATGATAAAATCACGACATCGGATGTTTGGGTCCGAGGAGGCCTGCTCGATTTGGAAGTGGTAAATTCACACTATTACTTTGAAGGAGCTATTTGCTAAAGGAAACAGGGTCTTAGTGAAGCGATGTTGCTCTGTTGCGCGACAACCGCGGCGGAACGTCCGAATTGCCGAGCCGCGTCCTGCGCTCGCGCCCTGAATCTCCTGTCAAAGAGCATTTACAGCTCGCTGAAAACATGCGCCCCCCGACCAGGCCCTGGCCCCGCGTCGCCACCGCATCCCCAAGGCTCTATTAAGGCAGACCGCGGACTCTACGAAAGCTAAGAGACGGCTTCACGAAAGCGAGAGAAAACAGCTTTCTTAAAACGACAAAAAAAAGAACGGCTTTACTAAAGCGAAGAAACGGTTATAGTAAAGGCGCGCCGTTCGATACATTCCAAACAAAAAAGGAAACGACGCTTTACGATAGCGGAAAAAATAGCTTCGGCTATACGCAAGAGTGACCCTGGGAAAGAGTGACCTTTGGTGCGCGGTTTTTGGGGGGCCGCGAGGGGACTTAACCTGGCCGCGCAACCAGCTGCTACGCCCTTGTTTTCAAACATCTGGGGACCCATCTGCGCCCGCACCAAAGGTCACTCCGGCGAAAGTTCACTTTTACGCCTAATCGATAGCTTTAGTAGAGCGGAGGAAAAGCTGGGGTAATATTGCGCGCAGAAATTTCGCTCCGCCCATAAAACCTGGCCCGGAACTCCAGGAGCGAGGACGGGGCGCAAGTTCGCCCGTCGGCCGGGACCCCGTCGCCGCCGTCGCCGCGATGTTCGTGGTCGCCGCCGTCGCCGTTGCCGCCGTCGTCGTCACCGTCGGCGCAAGCGCCGCCGTTGTCGTCGCCGTCGCCGTCGTCGTCGCCGCGACGCCCGCGCATTCACGTTATTACCAGCGGCGGGTCGCGCGCGACCGCGCGCGCCACTGCGCTGGCTCGTCCGACGAGGGCCCAGGCCTCCAGCAAACAACGAGGCTCCCGTTCGATACTTGTCTTGTTTTTACTGAAGACTCCCCCAGAAGCCTTTGGGTTTTTCGATTCCGTGTTGAACCTCCAGTAAATACCAAATTACTACTGAAGAACACCCTGCGTACATCCGCACTGGCGCTTACGCCTCGGCGACGGCTGCATTTCCTTTGAAAAATATGGTCACGCTCAGGCGCTTCGGGGGTGCGCCGGAACTGGCCCCCCAACAACAGCACCAACGCTCCCGCTCGATACTTCCTCCTCTTCTACTCGGGACCAGGGCTCTTCTTCGCCGCCGAAAGCTGGCTTTCCAACAAAAACTCCAGCTCGATATATCCTAGTTCTGTTGCCAAGGACCGGCGCTCCCGCCTCGGCGCCGCAGACAAACCCCCTGCAAACAACGACGCTCCCGCTCAATATTTCCTCCGTTTTTACTCAAGACTCCCAGAGGCCCTGGGCCTACCCTAGTCATTAGTGCCGAGCCTCAAGAATGCAGCATGCACTGTCGGAGGTCTGCACCAGTACCTCCCTGGCGCGCTCCGCGTGCCAGGGGCCTCCCAAACGCCCGCGGCGGCGACCCCGTCCTCGTCGTCGTCGTCGTCGTCGTCGTCGTCGTCGTCGTCGTCGTCGTCGTCCTCGTCTTCGTCGTCGTCCTCCTCCTCATCCTCCTCCTCCTCCTCCTCCTCCTCCTCCTCCTCCTCCCCCCTCGTCTTCCCTCCTCCTTCCTCCTCCTCCTCCCCCTCCTCCTCCTCCTCCTCCTCCTCCTTCTCCTCCCCCTCCTCCTCCTCATCTTCCTCCCCATGTTCTTACTATCATTAGTCTTACTAGTATTACTCTTATTCTTCTTACTAAAATTATGATTCGTATTATACGTCTGCGTAATAGCATTACATGTAAAGAACACCATCATTAATACGATTAAGTACCATGATTAGTATTAGTATGTTATTGTTCGTGTTCGTATGGCGCTTCGTCTTCTTATGTTCCTATGTTGTCATAGTATGATGTCGTACTAGTGGTAGTATAAGTAGTATGAATAGTATTGTTACTATTCGTATTACTATTAGTGTTATTGTTATTGTTGTTTTCGATGTTCCCCCTCCTCCTCCTCCTCCTCCTCCTCCTCCTCCCTCCTCCTCCTCCTCCTCCTCCCCTCCCTCCTCCCTCCTCCTCCTCCTCTTCCCTCCTTTTTCCTCTTCCTCCTCCTCCTCCTCCTCCTACTCCTCCTCCTCCTCCTCCCTCCTCCTCCTCCTCCTGCTCCTCCTCCTCCTCCCTCCTGCTCTTCTCTCCTGCTCCTCCTCCTCCTCCTCCTCCTCCTCCTCCTCCTCCTCCTCCTCCTCCTCCTCCACCTCCTTCTCCTCCTCCTGCTCCTCCTTCTGCTCCCTCCCCTCCTCCTTCCCTAAGGCTCAGAAGCTCCTCCGATCCAAGACTTTTCAAAAATCCTTTTGATAAAACTCCTGGAGGCCTCGCGTGGCAACTCTAAGCCCAGTTTGCGTCGCATTCACGTCGGGCTCACGTCGACCTCTACGTCGGAACACCACCACGCGAACCCTCGTCCCGTGTCTGACGGGGCGGACGGGAGAACTAAATCATGCAACTGTTGCGCGCCGGGCCCAGCCTCCAGGATTTTCCTCACATCGCCTGCCCAATTTCTCGAGCAGTGCCTGGCCGGAGCCCGTCCGCGCCGTCGCCCTTCGCCGCCGCCTCCGCCGCCGCCGCTGGCCGCTGGGAGAACCTCGGCGCGCGGAGCGCGGCGCCCGCCGCGGCCCGCGCCGGCGACGTCGCCGCCGCCGCCGGCCGCTGGGCACGGCGGGTGGGGATCCGGCGTGGGACGCAGTGAGCAGGAGGGGCGGGGCGGGCGCGAGCGGGGAGCGTGGGCGGAAGAGGCCTCTGTTCGCCCCCGACTAGGAGGGAGAGAGAGGGGCGCACCTGCGCCCCCAATCCCCACGACTGTTCCGCCGCGGCCAGCCGTTCCAACACGGCGAGAGGAAAAGCGAAAAACGCCAAGAGTGGTTACCAGTGTGCCGATGGGGGGTCACACCGACGAGCGGGTGACGGATGCGAGTATGAAGTGCCGGTGGCCGTGCACGCGGAACGATGGCATGCGGAGGCGGGCTTGGAGCCGAGACGCCCGACGTCGTGGCTTCTTCACAGCCGTGGACCCCCAGAGGTCTGGACCCCCTCCCCAGGACCGGCTTCTCGCCCCGAGCTGCTTCCCTGACGGTCCCATGGGGCCTGGCGAGGGGCCCCCGGAGGCCGACCACGGCCAACCGCATCCCATCGTAACTTTGCTCACGGCGCGAGGACGTTCCAGGGGATCGACGACACGCCAGAAGTGACCCCGGGCAAGGACCGACCTCTGGTGTGCGCGGCTTCCGGGGGGGGGGGGGCGCGGGGAGGCCGGACCCGAGCGCGCGCAAGCCGCTGCCACCGCATCGCAGGGCCCCGCGCGCCCGCACCCAAAGTCACTCCGGCGAAAGGCCACCATCATGCGCAAGCCGAGGGATGCGAGGCGGTGGATATGGATCTATTTCGGCCCCCCGGGGGCCCGAAGCTGTCCATATCCACCGCCTGCCGAGGCTCCGAAAACTGACGCTCCAGGCGGTGGTCATGTATGAATTCCCGCCTCGGAGAGGGAGAGCCTCGTCGCCGCCGCCGGCCGCTGCAGAGCTCGGCGGGCCTCGCGCGCCGCGCGGCGCACGTCGCCGTCCTCGTCCGCCAGGCCGTCGGCGATGGCCTCGGCGTGGGGCGCGGCCGCCTCCCCGAGGCGGGCCAGCGCCTCGGCCGGCGGGGGCGGGCCTGCTGCAGGGCGGCTGGCGCCGCTGGGCACCAACGACGGCGAAGAGGATACGGATACGGATACGAACCCAAACCCCCTGGGGCAATGAAGAAATCATGACGGGAGGTTTTCCCGTACTTTCGGCCTCTGGGAGCCCTTACCGGGCCTCGGGACCGTCAAAAAACGACTCAGGAGAAACCGGTCTAGGGGAATGGGTCGAGACCCTTGAGGGTCGACGTCATGAAAAAAACATGACGTCGGAGGTCTGGGGATACGGATACCTCTGCGCGGTGCGGCCCCGGCAGAGCAGGGAAAGATCGCGCCGCGGCGCGGCAGAGAGCGCCCTCCTTCTTGATCCGTCCACCCCGAGATCCGGGCGCCGCAATGTGTTCTCCCTCGCACCGGGCGCTCCCGCCCCACTGCGGGGCCCGGGGGCCGTCGCGGATCGATCGGGCGCGCAGGGTGCCGCAGAAAGGCAGGGTCGAAGGATTGCAAAAAAAAACCCTTTTTTTTGTTGCAATCCTTCGAGAAAGGCGGGGTCGAAGGTTTTTTTGCAATCCTTCGTTCCTGGGCTCTGGTCGTGACTGTGACGAGGTCTCAACTTCTCCGCGACGTCGGATCTCGCCGCCGCCCTCGCCGCCTCTGCCGCCCTCGCCGCCACCCCTGCCGCCCCTGCCGCCGCTGCCGGCGGCTGGCTCCGCTGAGCACCAGCGGCGGCGGAGAAGACACGCCCCCAGGGCTCCGGCGTCGTGCCCTCGGTTCAGTCCTGGCGGTGTTCCCTGGATCGGCCTCCCGGGGTCGTTTCGGGCCCCGGGACTTTGAAAGACCTGACCCTGAGCAGAAAACAACCTCCGTGAGAAAGGCAGACACCGTACGCGTTGGAAAATTACTCTGTCCAAGGGGCCAACCATACGCAGCTGCGAATACCGCGAGACAGATGATCAGAAGGGGGGCGAGCAAGAGGACCGGGATGCGGATGAGAAGAACGAGTTGAATAATGGCAAGGGGATCAGAAAGGAACAGCGAGGTACAGAAACAAGGGAGCTCCTTCTTGGGCCACGAGACACGTGAGAGGTGTGCCGAAACGGGCGCGCGGCAGCATGCGAGCACCGCCACTGGGGCCTTCGACGGAGCTTCCTCTCGAGCCACGAGACATGTGAGGCGTGTGCCGAAGTTGGCGCGGCAGCATGCGAACCCTGCCACTGGGGCCTTTGGAGCTCCCAAGTGGGGCCGCGAAAGGTGAGGGGCATGCCGAAACGAGCGGAGGAACAGTATGCTGGCCATGCCGCTGGGGCCTTCGGTGGAGCTCCCGGCTGCGGTTTAGTGACGGCGCTGTGCAGAAGATCGCCCAAATCTTTCCGTCGCAATGTGTTCACGACGCGAGGGGGTCTGGATTCTGTGTATGGGGTTGAAGTACAAGAGTACAGAACCCCTGATCCGTTGGTAGAGAGATGGAGGGATAGATGGATATCTTTCCCTCCCAAGCGATCAAGGTACGATCGCTCCAACTCAGTACCTGAGCCCAAACGGCCAGGTGCGGGAGAGGTAAGGATAAGGAGTATAGATGAGGGTATTACACGGGTTCCATACACAGATTCAGGGGTCACAGGTCGACGCCCAGGCCTCTCCTGGGGTGCGCTCCGACCAGGATTTCGACGGGAGTCCGGCCGTGGCCACGGGGGCGCCACGGGAGGCCCAAAACCGCCCGAGAGCCTCGATCTTCGAACCTCGATCCTCGACCTTCCAGCCTGGATCCTCGAGCCTTCCAGCCTCGATCCTCGATCCTCGATCCTCGACCTTCCAGCCTCGATCCTCGGTCCTCGACCTTCCAGCCTGGCTCCTGGATCCTCGAGGACCCCCAGGCCGTCCGGAGGGAGGGCCTCGCAGGCCATCTGGCGGACCTGCCAGCGCCCGTCGCGCAGCAGCGCCGCCAGCGCCTCCGGCGGGCGCTCTCGGAAGCAGAAGCATGGATTGGCCACGTGGGAACCCTGCCCCTGGAGGTCAGAGATCTGAAAAAAACCGGCTGGCGGGGCAGACCTCGAACGATGTCTGCAGCCAAGTGGGCTCCCGCGGGGGTGACTCATACCCATGTCCACCCCACCCTCGCCCTGGCGTCCCTTCCCCTGCCGCTCCAAGGGCCGGCTCTCCATCCTGAGTCGCCATGTACGGTCCCGGAGCCCGCACACGCGCGCGCACACATGCCCAATGTCAAACCCTTTCGAAAGAATGTTGAGCAAACGCTGCGGTCGGCAATGTTCGCTTGGCGTGTCGCGGCGACGGCCCCGGCGACGCGCTGTGCCCTGCGAGTGGATCGAGTGTCGCTCTGCTTCGCGGGGCGGGAGGCTAGGAAAGGCTGGTGACGTTGACGCTTGGGGGGCCCGGAGGTGGATAGCGCGTCGCACCGATGCGCGGTGGGCCAGGACTGGCGGAGCACAAAAAAAACAGCTATGGATTGCACCCGCAGCGTCGACTGGACCCGCAGAGTGGTCGCAGGAGCGCAGAGGGTGAGCGGCTCCGCGCACCACGCGGTGGGAAGGGGGGGGGGGGGCTGCCGCTGGGGGGGGGAGGGGGGGACGAACGAACAACACGCGCCCATACCCATAGGTGGGACGGGGGGGGCTATGGGTGCGCGTTGTCGGACGGGGGCCCCCGCTCGAAAGGAAACGCACCCCAGGATCCGACAACCCGCACCCATACCCATAGCCAGTCCTCTTCCCAACGTTCCCCCTATGGGTATGGGTGTGTGTCGTTCGTTCGTCAGGGGCGGCGCCCTGCAGGGCTCCGATCTCACGGCGAGGCCCCGAGCGCGACGAGCGAACAGCACACTCTTGGGCGGCAGCGGCCTCGCGCGCGGCAGCAAAGGCGGAGTATGCCAGAGCGGCTGAGTGGGAGCGCGCGACTGGGCCCTCAAGCGAGACCGCTTCGGATGTGAACGACACGCCCACACCCATAGGGGGGACGCAGGGGGCTGTGGGCGCGGCGCGTGTGGCCGGATGGGGAGTCCCCGCTCGAACGGGAGCCTCCCCTGGGGCCCAACAAGCCGCACCCATATCCATAACCAGACCTCCTCTCTCTCTCCGACCCCCCCTGTGGGTATGGGGGGGTAGTGTTCGCTCGTCCGAAGGATCGCGGCCCTCCCACAGCGCAAACCGCACGGTGCCAGCCGACTCCGTGCCGCTGGCGGCACCGAACCTCGGATGCGAGGCGGGGGGTCAGCCATATCCACCGCCTGGGGAACCGATGTCCTGGGACACCAAGGGGCGGTGGGTATGGATGCCTGTGGGCCCACGAATGCCTGTACCCTCCGTCTGCCGAGGCCCAGGAGGATCGGCTTCCCAGGCGGTGGGCACGGGCACGTCCCCGCGTCCGACTACAGATCCGCGCTTGGGCCGCCGCCGTGCCAGCGCAGCGCGGACCTGTCGCACCGCGCCAAGGGACCCGCTTGGCATGAAGCAAGCGGGTCCTGAGGGACACGGGTCGTGGACGCCACGGGACATTCCCCTGGGACCCGCTCTGCATCCTGGGTGGCTTCTGACAATCCTGGGGCCCAGGGGGGGGGCAGAGAGGCCGAAAACGGAGAACAAAAACTCAGGACCCGTTCAATGGGGTAGCGGAAAATTCCGATACCGCTGTTCCCCGGAGCTCTTCTGAGGTGCATTATGACCCGAACTTCGAGGATAATCCAGCCGTGGTAACGAGAGCTCTCCAAGACGAACGGCGCTTTCCGAGTAGGGGATCGACTACAGAATTGATGTACCCCAGATTTGCTTGGTGAGCTTTTTTTATTCGGCGTTTCGATATTGGGCGGAAAGGGGGTGGAGGGGGGGTCTGGTCTGGCTCTGGATCTCTGCTTAGTGCGACTGTTTGCAAACATTGCGTCCTGTGGGGGAGACTCCACCTGCTCGAAACAGGCGCCAAAAACAGCCAAGATCTACTCCAGGTGGGGGGGGAAGAAGGGAGGGGGGGTACGAGGGCCCGCGCCGATCGGCAAAACAAGTAATCAAAAACGATCGCTTGTTCGTCGACTCTACCCAAAAAATACATCGAACACTCGTGGATCTGAGAAACAGTCTACGCATGCTTTGAAAATCCCACGGGAAAGAACGCTGGGGTTCAATCAATTCTGCAGTCGACCGTGCTATCCGTACCCTCTTTCGGGGGTGGACAGACCCCCCTTTAGCAAAACGTGGTTTAGTGAAAACGACCTGAGGCCCGAACCTGGCGGGCGCAAGCCTGGAAAATAACGGCCACGGCGCACTCTCGAGAACCGAAAACGGACAATTCACTAATCGACGTGTCACTGTTGGGGGTTCTGTCCACCCCCGATTCTTTCTCCTATGTGCCATGGGCCCCGCGGAGCCGGCGCGGCCCCAGAAGAGAAGCGAGCCGCCCCCGCGGGGCCGCGCCGGACGGCCTCCGAATGCGGCCCCGCCGCCTCGCCCAGCCTGCCCAGCGCCTCGCGGCCGCCGCCGCCGCAGCGGCCATCGTTGCTGCCGCCGTCGTCGCCGTCGTCGCCGTCGTCGCCGCATCGGCCGCCGTCGCCGCCGCCGCCGCCGTCGCCGTCGCCGTTGTCGCCGCCGCCGTCGTCGCCATCGCCGCCGCCGCCGCCGTCCCCGGACCTCCTGCGTCGCAGCAGAGGGTCGGGGTGGAGGCGCGTCTTCGCCCGCTCGTGGCCTCCTGGGGCCGCCCTGGAGCCGTCAGGGCACGGCTCGCTGGCCATCGCTCGGACGTCCATTCCCTGTGTTTTTGTTCGATTTCGTGCGTGGTTTTTTTCTCAAAATGATCAAGATGCTCCTCGATGGTCCTCGCCGAAGGAAAAATGCACACGTCCGAGCGACGCCAAGGTCGGGACGAAGAAGCGGTCCCCGGGAGGGGGCCCAGAGGTGGCGGGGCCACGCGGGCCGCGCGGGCGCAGAAAATCACGGCGCCGGAGGCTCGAAGGCCGAGGGCAGGACCTCCCAGGACTGCCAGGGACAGTCGCGCTACCGAGGCCAGAATCCCTTGCAGGTTACTCCAGGTTCGCGATCCCGAAGCCAGAATCCACAGCAAGTTGCGCCAGCTTCGCCCTTTCGAAACCAGATCCCTTCTGTAAATTACACCAGATTCGCGATCCCAAGGCCTGAATCCCTTGCAAATTGCTTTAGATTCGCGCTCCCGAACACCGAACCCCTTATAAGTTAAGCCAGATTCGCGCCTCCGAAAACCAGAATCCCTCACACATTACGCGTGATTCGCGCTCCCGAAAACCAGAATCCATCATAAATGATTCGAGATTCGCGCGACCAGAGCCAGACTCCCTCGCACATTACGCCAGATTCGTGCTCCAAAAACCAGAATCCCTCGCAAATAACACCAGATTCTGGCTCCCGAGGCAAGATTCTCTTGCAAATAAAACCAAGTTCGTTCTCTGAGAAGGAAACAGAGCGTTTAATCACAACTCCAACATGTCAAGGTGCTTGCTGAATGATAATCGTTCTCGCATGATCTTCCCAGAAATTGAAGACAGCGCCGATACGTCCCAGCATAGTTCTGACACCTCACATTGGGATAGAGAGGGCGCTGGCGGCAGAAGGCGACGCCCTTACGGATATCCAGCAGGAAAGAGGCATTAGCAAAAGTAAAGCCATCCAGAACAGAGTGGCAGAGGACACGGTGCAAGACGATATGGCACGTACAAATACACATACGGGCATACAAGTATGAATCCGCCGACTTCCAATTCTAAGGTATGCGAAGGCATGTAACATTATTGATTGTCCCCCTCATCCTGCTACCCTGGACCAAGTCCTGCCCCACCCTCCACCCCACCAAGTCCCGTCCAAGGGAACTCCGAGTCCCAGATCGGATTCATATCAGGTCGCGTTTTTCAATGAAATGTCCCTTTCACTGATGTAGGAAGAGGAAGAGGAGGAGGAGGAGGAGGAGGAGGAGGAGGAGAAGGAGGAGGAGGAGGAGGAGGAGGAGGAGGAGAGGAGAGAAGGAGGATGAGGAGGAACTCCTTGCGCAGGCTTATTGTACTATCTAAGCGATTCGGATGAGTTTGCTGGCTAACTAAGCGAGCTCCTTGATCTCCTTGGGGACAGGGCACAGGCGATACTTGTTGTCCGAGCCGAACGTGTACTTGCACGCGGCCTTGGCGGCGACGCGGCCGAAGACGACGCAGTCCAGCAGGGAGTTCCCGCCCAGGCGGTTGTTGCCATGGATGCCGCCCGCCACCTCACCCGCAGCGTACAGGCCCGGGATGGCCTTGCCGGTCTTCGAATCCAGCACCGCGGAGTCCACGTCCACCTCCAGGCCGCCCATGCAGTAGTGGATGACGGGGGTGATGATGGCGACGTAGAACGGCTGGGTGGCCACGGCGGAGCCCGGGATGATGTTGTGATCCGCCCCCGTGCCCGCGGCACGGCTGAGGCGTATGAGAACGCCTGCTGGTTGCCCCCCGGCATCCGACGTCGTGCTCTCTTCTCAACTAGAGGCCTCCTAGGTGCCAGATGGGGTACGAAAAGATGGGGTCGGAGAATCGCGCGGCATCGCCGGTGCATCGCCCACGCATCGATGATGCATCGACGATACATCGGCGACGTCGGCGTGGAAAAAATCGGCCTCCACATCGAGCCGCATCGGCGATGCATCGGCGAATCCTCCGACCCCTCTGCTCGGACCACACTTGGGAGGCCTGGAGCAGCGTGGCTCCTCAGAGGCCTGGGCCCCTGCCGGGGACCAGCTCTTCACCCTGAGCCTTTCTGCTGGCAGCGCCAGGGCCCGGCAAGGGCCCGCAGAGGCCCAAACTTGCCCGAAACCTCCCGTCGGGAGTTTGTTCGTGACGCGAGGACGTCAGGGTCTGGTACAGTCGGACCTAGACCAGAAGAGCATCCCTCAAGAGCATGAGACCTCCACTGGCCAAAACACACAGAACATCCAAGGGTACCCTCCCCAGGATGCACAAGAACATCCAACAAACACGAAGAACAATAGAGTACCCTCCCCGAGCCGACCTCGATCTTATGTCTCGGTCCGACTACAGGCTTCCCTTGGTTTTCAAGGCGGCCGTCCTCAAAAAAATCGTCCCAACGGGGTGTGCTCCCTTCGGCCTCTTCCACGGCTGTACGAGACGACCAGAGACCGCCCCAAAAGAGGCCTGCAGGACTCCCAGAAGACCGTCCACGGACGGCCCAACGAAATGCCAAAGGCTAACAAGATCTCTCCAAGATGCCCCAAGAGGCCCCAAGAAGCATCCAAGAGATGCCCGAAGGCACCCCAGACGCGAAAAGCATATACAAAAACGGAGTGGAAGACAGCACTTCTAGCTCCCGAGGCTGTTCGGCTTCAGATCGCCTCGGCAGAGCTTCAGATATCTTCAAGAAGCCCCCAAGATGGCCCAAAACTGCCCCAAGAGAGCCCCCAGACGGCCCCAAGACAGACCGAGAACCGTCCATGAGGGCTCAAAGACGGCCCCAGCATGGTTCAACCGAGCCTTTGCGAGAGAGAGAGAGAGAGAGAGAGACTCGGCGGAATCGTGTCGCCAAAGACGGCCCGAGGCCACCGACGGGCTCCAGACGGCCCCTCACCAGGCCCCCAAGAGGCTCCCAGGAGGGCCCCAGGAAGCCCAGAGAAGACACCTCGAAGAGGCCCCCAGGAAGCCCGGAGGGGGGAAGGACAAAGAGGAACGATGATGAAGGAGGAGGGGGGGGAGAGAGGAGAGCGAGATTGCGGACAGGAAGGGAGCGTTCAAGACCCGCGCCAGCTCAAGCAGAGCACTGAGCTGGAGGTGGTCTGGGAAAGAGTGGAGCTTCCAAGATCCGCGCTAAGTCGGACAGAACACTGAACTGGAGCGGGCCGTGAAATCAGCCTCTCTTGCCTCCGCGTGGATCTCCGAAAGTTTATACATATCTATATATATATATACATTATATACATATGGTTTTCTCTTCCTCGAGTTTCTGCGCAGGCTTGTCGCGGGGCTTGCCGCAGGCGGCCGGATAGAACTTCTTGCCGGAGCCTGTCTTGCCGCTGGGCTCGTCCCAAGACTTGCCGGACGGGTACGCGGGCCAAGAGCCGCCGTCGGGGTCCTTCTCGGTCTTCTTCGCCGCCTGGTAGTGCGCCTCGGTGGTCTCCTCGAGCACGGAAAGCGAGATGCCCATGTCCTTGGCGAGGGCGGCGCCGTTCTCGTAGAACTTCATGACGCCGCGGCCGGTGTAGTGCTTGCAGTGCCTGAGGGGGAGCGGTACGGTCAGGAAGTTTTACTTGGCGTGTCGCGGCGGCGGCCCCGGCGACACGCTATGCCTTGCAAGCGGATAGCGTCTCGCATCGCTCTGCGGGGCGGGAGGCTGGGCGGAGCTCGGGACGTTGGTGCTGGGGCGTGGATGGCGTGTCGCGCCGAGGCGTGGTGGGTCAGAACCAGCGGCGCGACACGCTAAGCCAAAGTTCCCAACCGTAGGGAGGGCGCCTGGCAAAGAAGGACAGGGCGCGGGCGCGCGCGGGCGCGCACAGGCGCGCGCGGGCGGGGTGAGACATGGACCGAAACGGGCGGCACATCGCCGACAGGTCGGGGGTAGGCCCTCGACTGCGAAGCCGCAGGACTCCTGGGCGAGCCGGGCTGAGCCAGGGCACCCGGGCCCCGATCGGCGAGGGAAGGGGTCGACTGGGGGGCGTCGCTTTCCCCTGGGACGCACAAGGACATACTAATGAGAGGTGCCTCCGTTGGAGGCACACGTCCGACCCGAACGTCGAACACAAAATCCATCTTGTAGCAGATCGTTCCCCGAGCGGCATCGCCAGGAAGCGCCTGCCACTGAGTCTACCCTAAAAGAGTTCTCAGCGCCCCGTCGCCCTTGCGAGGCCGACGGGCCGACGCACACGTAATATCAGCATGTCTGGGTGGTGCCGCCCCACCCCCTGGGCCAGTCCCCCCTCTGTCGTTGCCCCCGAGCGCCAGCTGATCTCATCGGACGCCGCCTTGTTCAGGCAGAGGCGGAAGGGCGGCTTGTTCTTCCACATCTCGCCGGTGACGTAGTCCCGGCGGCCCAGCTCGTTCGCGAAGCGCTTGCCGTTGGCGTCGAACACAAGCCCGCCCACGCCGCGCAAAGCCTCTGCGGCCAGGAACTTGATCTTGGCGTCGGGGTCGTCCGGCTTCACAAGCCCAGTTGGGTGCACCTAGGCGACGACAAGAAACGGGCCTCACGCGAGATGGCACAGCGACCTTACGAGGTGGCTTACGCGGGCCGCCAGCGCGGCACGCCATGTTGAAAACAAGGGCGCTTGCGCGCGACCTCACGCGGGGAGCTCACGCGCGAATGCCGGCGCTGTCGACCTTTTCTCTTACGTCGCCCACCTGGACCCACTCCAGGTCGATCGTGCGTCCGCCGATCGCCTCGCCCATCTTGATGCCGTCGCCGGTGCAGTGCTCGCCGTTGGTGGTGGGCAGATGCAGGAGGTCGGGGCGGTACTGCGCGAGCAGCGAGTTCGTGGTGAAGTCGGCGCCGAAGCCGCCGCTGGCCAGGATGACAGGGCCGAACTCCTTGAAGTCCTCGCCGTTCTTGGAGTAGATCAGGCCCACCACAGAAGTCTTTCCCCCAGACGTGTTGGTCAGCAGCTTGTGAGCGCAGGCCTTGGTGATGATGCGGGCGCGGTCCGTCTTCTCGGCCACCTTCTCGAGCATCTGAATCAGGGCGTAGGTGATGGTCATGCCAGGGAAGCGCTCCGCGCCGCGGTGAGTGCGTGGCGCGGAGTGGCCGCCGAGGCGCGCCACGAGGGACAGGTCCAGGTCGAACTTGTCGACGAGCCAGTCCACGTCCGCGCCACTGTTGTGGCAGAGAATCTTGGCGAGCTCTGGGCGCTTGGCCCCGCCCTTGAGAGTGTCGTTGGTGAAGAGATCGCGGGAATCTTGGATGCCCTTCGCCTTCTGCGTCTTCGTCTCCGCGCCATTGATGCCGCTGGTCGCCTTCGTCGAGTTGCCGCCGCAGAAGGAAGACTTGTCCACCAAGACGACCTTCCCCCCGGTCTCCAGAACGGTGTTGGCGGCAGACACGCCCGCCAAACCGCCGCCGACGACAATGGCCTGGTTCGCGGGGAATACCATCGCCATGGCTCCGTGAAAGATCGCGGAACTTATGCCACACACACAAAAACTTTATCAAGTACGGCCTGAGAGACCAAAGCCGAACCTGATTCGCCGTGGCTTGAACAAAAATCGTGCGGACCTGCGGCGCTACGAAGGGGAGCCGAATAGAGGACAGGGAGGAGGAATCCTGCGCCGCCCTTTCCTCTTCTTTCCCATCCTCCTCCTCCTCCTCCTCCTCCTCCTCCTCTTCCTCCTCCTCCTCCTCCTCTTCCTCCTCCTCCTCCTCCTCTTCCTCCTCCTCCTCCTCCTTCTCCTCCTTCCCCTTCTTCTCCTCCTCCTCCTCCTACTCCTACTCCTCCTACTCCTCATCCTCCTCCCGTCTCCCCATCCAGATATCTACGGAGACCTCCACAAACCCACCGACCTCTGTTCCTGGGGCCCCCCACTCTACAATTTCTTGTCCAGAACCCACCCTGACCCCCACACTGCCTCCACTACACGTTCGACATCCCCACACCGCCAGACCACTCCTCGGGACCTCTGCTCTTGTGGCCCTCCACTCGACAATTCTTTGCCCAGAAGCCACCCTGACCCCCACCCTACCTCCACCACGTTTGACATCCCCACCCCGCCAGACCACTCCTCGGGACCTCTGTTCTTGGGGCCCCCCGCTCGACAAGTCCTTGCCCAGAACCCACCCTGACCGCACACTGCCTCAATTACGTTCGACATCCCCACACCGCCAGACCACTCCTCGGGACCTCTGTTATTGTGGCCCTCCACTCGACAATTCGTTGCCCAGAAGCCACCCTGACCCCCACCCTACCTCCACCACGCTTGACATTCCCACCCCGTCAGACCTCTCCTCGGGACCTCTGTTCTTGGGGCCCCCCACTCGACAAGTCCTTGCCCAGAACCCACCCTGACCCCACACTGCCTCAATTACGTTCGACATCCCCACACCGCCAGACCACTCCTCGGGACCTCTGTTCTTGTGGCCCTCCACTCGACAATTCTTTGCCCAGAAGCCACCCTGACCCCCACCCTACCTCCACCACGTTTGACATCCACCCCGTCGGGACCTCTGTTCTTGGGGCCCTCCACTCGACAAGTCCTTGCCCAGAACCCACCCTGACCCCACACTGCCTCAATCACGTTCGACATCCCCACACCGCCAGACCACTCCTCGGGACCTCTGTTCTTGTGGCCCTCCACTCGACAATTCTTTGCCCAGAAGCCACCCTGACCCCCACCCTACCTCCACCACGTTTGACATCCCCACCCCGACAGACCACTCCTCGGGACCTCTGTTCTTGGGGCCCTCCACTCGACAAGTCCTTGCCCAGAACCCACCCTGACCCCACACTGCCTCAATTACGTTCGACATCCCCACACTGCCAGACCACTCCTCGGGACCTCTGCTCTTGGGGCCCTCCACTCGACAAGTCCTTGCCCAGAACCCACCCTGACCCCACACTGCCTCAATTACGTTCGACATCCCCACACCGCCAGACCACTCCTCGGGACCTCTGTTCTTGTGGCCCTCCACTCGACAATTCTTTGCCCAGAAGCCACCCTGACCCCCACCCTACCTCCACCACGTTTGACATCCCCACCCCGCCAGACCACTCCTCGGGACCTCTGTTCTTGGGGCCCCCCACTCGACAAGTCCTTGCCCAGAACCCACCCTGACCCCACACTGCCTCAATTACGTTCGACATCCCCACACCGCCAGACCGCTCCTCGGGACCTCTGTTATTGTTGCCCTCCACTCGACAATTCGTTGCCCAGAAGCACCCCTGACCCCCACCCTACCTCCACCACGCTTGACATTCCCACCCCGTCAGACCTCTCCTCGGGACCTCTGTTCTTGGGGCCCACTCGACAAGTCCTTGCCCAGAACCCACCCTGACCCCACACTGCCTCAATTACGTTCGACATCCCCACACCGCCAGACCACTCCTCGGGACCTCTGTTCTTGTGGCCCTCCACTCGACAATTCTTTGCCCAGAAGCCACCCTGACCCCCACCCTACCTCCACCACGTTGACATCCCCACCCCCCAGACCACTCCTCGGGACCTCTGTTCTTGGGGCCCCACTCGACAAGTCCTTGCCCAGAACCCACCTGACCCCACACTGCCTCAATCACGTTCGACATCCCCACACCGCCAGACCACTCCTCGGGACCTCTGTTCTTGTGGCCCTCCTCTCGACAATTCTTTGCCCAGAAGCCACCCTGACCCCCACCCTACCTCCACCACGTTTGACATCCCCACCCCGCCAGACCACTCCTCGTGACCTCTGTTCTTGGGGCCCTCCACTCGACAAGTCCTTGCCCAGAACCCACCCTGACCCCACACTGCCTCAATTACGTTCGACATCCCCACACCGCCAGACCACTCCTCGGGACCTCTGTTCTTGTGGCCCTCCACTCGACAATTCTTTGCCCAGAAGCCACCCTGACCCCCACCCTACCTCCACCACGTTTGACATCCCCACCCCGCTAGACCACTCCTCGGGACCTCTGCTCTTGGGACCCCCCACTCTACAATGAGCGTGGCTTTTTGGGGCTGGTTCTCGATGTTTTTCGCAAGCTTGATGCGGGAGTACGGAATGGCGCGAGCCATGGTAATGATGTTTCACAAAGCTATGAAGGCATGCTTGTTGGCCTCCTCCTGCTTCATCTGCTGCTCCCCCGCGGAACGCCCTCGGCGAGACCATCCCTCCGCACGCGCCTCGCACGCGGCCCTCCGCGCGTTCGCGTCGCCGTCCGCGAGGCTCCCGGCGATGGCCGGCGCCGCGGCCTCTCCTGCGGCGGCCGCGGCGACAGACGACGACGACGATGACAGACGACGACGACGACGACGACGACGACGACGACGACGACGACGACGACGACGACGACGACGACGACGACAAGAACGACGACTGACGACTGACGACTGACGACTGACGTCTGACGTCTGACGACTGACGACTGACGACGACGACGACGACGACGACGACGACGACGACGACGACGACGACGACGACGACGACAACAACGACGGAGAAAACGACGACGACGACGACGACAGACGACAGACGACGACGAAGAAAACGATGACGACGACGACGACGACGACGACGACGACGACGACGACAGACGACAGACGACTGACGACGACGACAGACGACTGACGCCAAGTGACGACGACAGACGACGACAGACGACTGACCCCTGACGACTGACGACTGACGACTGACGAATGACGATTGACGACTGACGACTGACGCCTCGCGACTGACGACTGACGACTGACGACTGACGACTGACGACTGGCGACTGACGACTGACGACTGACGACTGACGACGACGACGACGACGACGACGACACTTACGACTGACGACAGATGAAAAAGACGACGACGACGACGACGACGACAGACGACGACGACGACGACGACGACGACGACAGACGACAGTCGACAGTCGACAGACGACGACGACAGACGACAGACGACGACGACGAGGACGACGACTGACGACTGAGAACTGACGACTGACGACTGACGACGACGACGACGACGACGACGACGACAGACGACGACGGCGACGACGACTGACGACTAACAACTGACGACTGACGAATGACGACTGACGACTGACGACTGACGACTGATGATAGACGACAGACGACTGACGACGACGACGACGACGACGACGACGACGACGACGACGACGACGACGACGACGACGACGACGGCTACGACAAAGAAAACGACGACGACGACGACGACGACGACGACGACGACGACACACGACGACGACGACGACGACGACGACGACGACGACGACGACGACGACGACAGACGACGAGGACGACGACGACGACGACGACCCACGACCGACGACGACAGACGACGACGACGACGAGGACGACGACTAACCACTGACGACTGACGTCTGACGACTGACGACTGACGACTGACGACTGACGACTGGCGACTGACGACTGACGACGGCGACGACGACGACGAAAAACGACGACGACGACGAGGACGACAACAACGACGAAGAAAACGACGACGACGACGACAGACGACAGACGACTGGCGACAAAGACAGACGACAGACGCCAAGTGACGACGACGACAACGACGACGACGACGACAGACGACTGACCACTGACGACTGACGACTGACGACTGTTGACTGATAATTGACGACAAGCGACTGACGACTGACGACTGAGGACTGACGAATGACGACTGACGACTGACGACTGACGACTGATGACAGACGACTGACGACTTACGACGACGACGACGACAGACGACAGACGACAGACGACGGCGACAACGACGACGACGGCAGATAACAGACGCCTGACGACGACGACGACGACGACGACGACGACGACAGACGACGACAGACGACGGCGACGAGGACAACGACTGACCACTGACGCCTGACGACTGAAAATTGACGACTAACGACTGACGACGACGACGACGACGACGACGACGACGACGACGACGACTCACGACTCACGACTCACGGATGACGACTGACGACTGACGACTGACGACGACGCCGCCGACGACGACGACGACTACGGACGACGACGACGATGACGACGATAGACGACAAACGACGACGACAGAAGACGACGACAGACGACGACGACGACGACGACAATGACGAACCACTGACGAGGAAGACTGGCGACGACGACAGACGACAGACGACAACAGACGACGACGACGAGGACGAGGACGACGACTGACCACTGACGACTGACGACTGACGACTGACGACGACGACTGACGACGGACGACAGACGACTGGAGACTGACGGCTGACGGCTGACGACTGACGACGACGAAGAAAACGACGACGACGACGACGACGACGACGACGACAACGACGACGACGACGACGACAGACGACGACGACGACGACGACGACGACAGACGACAGACGACTGAATTCGACCGACGGCGCGACAACGCCCACCCCCATGACTTCGTCTTGGGCGGCCCGAACGCGACGGCGCGGACAGGTCACAACACGTCGGAGCTGGCGAAGAGCATAGCGAAGGAAATGTTGAACATTATCGGGCCGAAGGAGGTGCTCAACGCGGATGAGATCTCTGAAGCGGACCCCGAGGAGGCGAATGCCCAGGGATAAGTGGACTTCCCTGCCACCGAGGAACCCTTGGAGGAGCAGTTGGAGTTGAAGAAGGTGCAGGTGTCGAAGGAGGCAAAGACCGCGGTGCTTCGGATTCACAAGAACCTTCGACACCCCTCGAAGGACCAGCTCGTTCGAGCGTTTCGAGCTTGCGAAGCTAGCGACGAGGCGATCGCGGCGGCGGCGCAGCTGCAGTGCCCGGCGCGCCACGAGATGAACAGGCCCGCCGTTGGACGTACCTGGTTCCCGGCGAGGCTCAAGAAGGCGAAGGAGTTCGGCGAGCAGGTCGCGATCGACCTGTTCACGGTGCACACGAACTCTGTCTGGCTCGGCGCTGGAGACGCTCAACATCGTCGACGTGACGGCATGACGGGCTGCCAAGCGGTGGCGCCCGTCAGGAGCAAGCACCGTGGCGCGGTGGCGCAGGCACTCGGGCGGGTCTGGTTCAGCTGGGCTGGCGCGCCCAACTCGCTGGTGCACGACAACGGAGGCGAGTTTTACAAAGAAGTGTTCAAGTGGCTGGAGGGCTGCGGCGTCCGGATTTGGTTCACGGCGGCGGAAGCGCCACGGCAGAATGGAATGCGCGAACGTGCTGGAGGTGAACGCGCCGGAGGTGAATGGAAGGTGCTCTGGAGAGCCAGCGCCACGGAGGCGGAGATCGAGACCGAGCTGAAAGTGACAGCCGCCGCCGCGATGACCACCTGGGTCAAGAACCCGCGGATCAACGAGTCCAGCTTTTCGCAGGCGCAGCTTGTGCTGGGAAGGTCCCAGCAGCTGCCGTGGGGGCTGCTCAGCGAGCGCGTGCGATCCCAGCTCGCAGTGCGCGACGCGGCGGACAACGACCCTTACATGACGAAGCGCCCGCAGGTTTACAGCGCGGCAAAGGCGGCGCTGGAGAGGCTGGACACCAGCAAGCGGCTGCGTTGAGCCCTGGTTGCTCGCTGTCGACGGGTGCCGCCCAGCACGAGCGCGAAGCTTGGCGACGCGGTCAATTTCTACCGCGAGGGCAGGCGCAAGAATCAACGGAAGAAGGGTCCTGCCTTGATCTTCAAGGCCTGGCATGGACCAGCCGCGGCCATGCTCGCCGAGCCCGCGGCCATCTACGTCTCGCTCGCACGAGGGTCTGTCGACCGAGTGCCACCCAGCGGCGGTCCGCCGCGCGTCGCCCGACGAGGCGCCGGGCGTCGGCGCCAGGGAGCAGCTAGATATCATGGAGAAGGCGCTGCTCGACGAGAAGGGCGATGAGGAGATCTACATGGAGGGCGCGACCAAGGCGCACGAGGAGGAGGTCGAAGCAGACCAAAGCGACGCACGTGGACGCGGAGGAGCAGCAGGAACCGCTGGGCGAGATCACCGCGGCGAGCACGGCTGCTGCGACGGCTGGCGCGGTGGCCGAAGGCGAGACCGACCCGATCTCGAGCGCTGAGTTCTCGAGGAAGACGAGCTCTCAGCAGAGCGGGAGGACTGATGTCCTGACGGAGGTGTCTCAGAGGTTGCGCGATCAGGGCGAGGACCCGGACACGTCGAGGTTGCTGCACGCGGCCAAAACCATCCAAAAGCGCGCGGGCGAAGTTCGAGAGCGACCGAGGCCGACGGCAGCTCGACCGACGCCAGTGGCGACCATCATCCCTGAGGGTCAGTTCGGGCCCCACGTCAACTTCGCGCCGAATACGCCGCCTTCCCAAGAGGCAGAGGCAGCTCAGGACCTGGTGGAGGACCAGATTCAGCCGGTGGAGGAAGAGCCGCCTCAGCAGGGACAGAAGCGCGACGCGGAGTCACTCGAGCTACCAGAAGCCCCATCTCGGGGAGGGCGTGACGGACCTCCGGAGCCCATGCGCCGCGACGAGGCGCCGCAGATCAAGAAAGTATCGAACTGGGCCGCCAGCTGGCTTAAGAAGGCCCCCGAGGACGACCGGAGCAGGTTCATGGATCAGCTGGAGACGGTGGAACGGACCGACCCGAGGTTCGAGGCGATGCTCGCGCAGAGGCAGGCTCGGAAGGAGATGGTCTGGAGCCGCATGGATCCGTCGACCAAGGCGAACTACGCGGAGGCAGCGGCGTCGCAGTGGGCCAAGTGGATCGACACCGATTCCGTGGAGGTGCTGCTGGAGAAGGAGTCCGCCGAGCTCGAGGAGTCGATGAAGAGCGAAGGCAAGGGCGACTACATCATGGGCACCCGGTGGGCGACGGACAAGAACGACCCGCTGCGGACGGAGCTGAACAACCTACCACTGAAGGCGAACGCGAGGCTCGTGGGCAACAGTGGCGACCCCGGGCGATCCGACGAGAAGGCGAACGTTCGCGTGGACGCGCTCTGCGCGACGACGCAGTCGGTGATGATCCTGACGCAGGTGGCGGCGTCGCACCCGGAGTGGAAGTTCGGGTCCAAGGACGTGAGCAGCGCTTTCCTGAAGGGCGAGGTGGATGAGCGCGGCCTGATGATTCGCGCTCCTCTACATGGACCTGCACTCATTGATTGCCCACGAGGTCGGCTTGCGAGAGTTAGAAAAGCTGTTTTTGGACTACCGATCACACCGAGGTTGTGGCACTTGAAGGTGCTCTCAGCGGCTCGCAAGCTGGGACTGGAGGCTTCTCGGTCGGACCCCGCCTGCCTGGTGCTGCACGACCCGAAGACGAAGAAGCGAGGGCACGACAGCCTGTGGGGCTGCACATGCATTCACGTGGACGATTTCCTCTGGACGGGGAACGACAAGATGGCGAAGGTGAGGCAAGATGGACGGGGAAGATGCTCTGGGCAAGGAGTTTGGCTTTGGCAGTGAGGAGTACGATGATTTCGTGTTCTGCGGCCGCCGCTTCAAACGACAGCCAGGAGGAGCCATTCACATCGACATGGAGTACGCGGCCGGCCTGGAGCCTGTGACTGTGCCCAGGAGTCGGCGCGCGGCGGCGCATGTGCCAATGAACGCGATGGAGCGGAAGCAGTGTCAGCAGGTGGTCGGGAAGATCAACTGGCTCGTGACGAAGCTGCGCGTGGACCACTCGTATGACCTGGCGGTACTGCAGCGAGAGAAGGGCCGCAAGAAGGGTCCGCGGGTGTCAACGCTGATTCGGACGAACCAGGTGCTGAGAGAGCTGAAACGCGACTCGACGTTCAAGCTCGTGATGCGGCCAATCAACCTCAGGCGCTTCGGCCTGGTGGTGGTGTCCGAATGTTCGCTGGGCAACGTGATGAACGACGTGACGGCACTGCAGTCGGACCCAGCGACGGAGAAGATCGGCACGCAGGGAGGATACCTCCTCGCGTTCGCGGACAAAGAGCTCGTGGACGGCGGAGTTAGCCGGTTTTCGCTGCTGAAGGTTAGAGTCACAAGGCGACGCCGTGGACGTAGCCCAAGGCATGCGTGACCAGATCGCGGAGATGTTGTACGGCACCGTAGCAACGAGCGCGGGCATAAAGTTGTCTGGACGGCAGGTTCCCACGACGGTAGTGACGGACAGCAAGGACGGACATAACCGACTCAATTCAGAAGCTTGCGTCGGGAGCTCGGCGCAGAATTCTGTGAACCTGGAGTTGGCCAGCATCAGGGAGATTTTGGACCCGCCACGGACGATGGTGCGCTGGACAGACATGACCAACATGCTGAGTGATGTGCTGACGAAGGATATGCCAGTGGATCACCTACGCGAGGCGCTCGAGCGAGGGGCGTGGAGCATTGAGTTCCGTGAGGAGATCGTGAAAACGGCCAGGCGTGTGGCTCGCGAGCGATGGGTAGCGAAGATGAGTGAGCTCAGCCACGATGGGAAGTTCACGCCAGGAGCGCTGGAGTCATAGCAGCTATCTGGAAGAAAAGTGATCGTGCCTGGTGACCCCTCTGTATCCTCATCTCTCCCCCGCTTGTGCTGTGCCGAGGCTGGTGCACGTTGGCACGCTCGCGTTTCAGTGCATGTATTTCTTTTTTGCCCCCTCTCGGAGTACGGATGTCCGATCGGGCCGAGTAGGCCATTTCATTTGATAGCGTTGCTGAGAATATTGACAGTAGTACTTGCACGTTATAGGTGCTGAGAGGTTTCCATGTTTCATATTTGCGGGTCACCCCGTCGTCAGTATACTTGTGATCTGGGTGACTGACTGCACGAGAGATTGACTAGCAGGAGAGGGGCCAAGTCAGCAAAAAATAAAAACCCGTGTCTAAAAACGCGCGTCAGATTCCAAACTTGCCCTCTGCTTGTCTATGCTAACCCCCTCTTCCCATTTGCTCTCCCCATCTCGCTCGTGTATTGCGACCGGCTTGGCCCAAGCGGGCTTGAGACAACTGGTTTTCTGGTTGCAGGACTGGAGCTGGAAAAGCTGCGTACCTCGAGCCCTGCCGGGCTCCGCCGCCAGCCCCCGCTGCGGGGCCGGGAAGTACGCCGCTGGAGGCTACCCGGTTCCGCAGAGGAGACGGAGGCGACCGGGACACTCGACGCCGTGACTTTTTGACAACGTGGACCCCTGGAGGTCTCGAACCCTTCCCCGGGACCGATGTTTCGTCCCGAGTTGCCTTGTTTGACGGCCCTGGGGCCCCGTGAGGACCCCTGGAGACCGAAAACCTGCAAAAGCCTTCCGTTGCAAGATGTTTCGCAACACGAGGATGTCAGGGAAGCGGACGGAGACGACGAGCGCCCCTTTTCGGTGGCAACTCATGGGAGCCTCCCAAGCCATCTTACTGACTCATGAGAATCAACGCTGGCCGACGCTAATCGACGCCTACTGACGATAAATCGACGCTTATCCACGCTAGATCGACGCACATTGACGCTGGATCGGCGCTTCCTCATCGACGATCACACGCCAGCGCACGCTCATGCACTATGAAGACGGAACGACGAAGGCACACGAGGCTCCCACGATCGGCTACCGACCCCACCCCAAGGGGGCGTCTCCCAGCTGCCGCAGCGCCTCCGTCGCCGCGTCCCGCACCTGCAGCTCCGGGTCCGACAGCAGCACCGCCAGCGACCTGGCGTGCCGCCCTGCAGCCCCGCCTGGGGGTGGGCAGATAGGGCACCGCGGCAGCCGCTCCCCGGGCCTCTCCCAGGGCGCATCCTGACTTGGAGCCGACTGGTGGTCTGAGATAGCCCAACATTGCTTCCAGCGAGCAGGAGGGGGGGGCGGGGACGGGGTTCGATGACGTGGACTCGGGCAGGTTTGGAGCATTTTGTCAGCCCTGGGGGCCGTTTCGGGCCCCAGGACCGTCAGAAACGGATCCAGGGTGACAACCTGCACCAGATGGACCCTGGGAGAGGTCTGGGAACAGATTTTGAGCGGAGTTGGCCTCATCCCCCTCTTGACAGATTTTCTCAGCGCCAACCAGCTCAGACCCCCCGGCCGCCTCCAAATCCTGCCCAGAATCCCGCGCGCGGGCCCAGCAGGTTCCGCCACTGCATGTTTGCGGCGAGTGTATTTCGGCGCAGTGCATTTGAGCCCGCTTTTGGCGCGATGGATGTCGAGCGGTCGAGGGTGGCTCTTTCTCTCCACACCCTCGGACGAGCGTCGCGTCACCATGCATGCCCTTCGCTGGCCAAACCTCGAGGAAAATCCCGCCGTGGCGACGAAGGCTCCCCAGGGCGAGAAGCAGCATCGGCAGATCTTCCCGTGACACCTGCCGATGCGACTGCGGTAGCCAGCGGCCCTCGCGCCCTGGGCCCATTATGATGGCCCCGGGGGCTCGAAAGAGGCCCCGGAGGCCCCCGAGGGCCGAGGGCCGGAAGCGAAAAAACAGTCAGACCGTCGGAGATCTGGACCGCTGGCCCCTGGCCATCGCTCGGACGTCCATTCCCTGTGTTTTTTGTTGTGATTTCGTGCGTGGTTTTTTCGCCAAATGATCAAGGATACTCCTCGATGGCCCTCGCCGAAGGAAAAATGCACACGTCCGAGCGATGCCAAGGACCAAGGACTGGCTTTCCATCCCGGGCCCAGCCGTTATCTGACGGTCCATGGGGTCCGGAGAGGGTCCCAAGAGTCGAAAACTGCAGCAGCAGCAGCAACAACTACAATGTTAAGACTGTTCGTTTTCACCTGCTCGTGTGCCACTCAACACGTATATCCCAAACCCTCGACACCCGCCCTCTTCGTCTTCGATCGTATCCCCTTGGGGGGACATCTATCCTACCTGCAACGCGTATTTTGTGCAAGCCCCTAACGCAGGGGAAGAGAGGACGGATGGAAGAAAGGGACAAGGGGGAGGGAGAAGGATGGAGCACGAGAGAAAGTAGCAGGAGAGGGCAGGAGGGGGGCTATGATCAGAAAACACGTGGCAGAACCAGAAGGGCAGATCGGGCGGGTAGACCCTGAGAGGCGTGTCGGGAACGCGGGCTCAAGCGGCCAGGTCGAGCAGGTGGGTTGCTGAAGCGTGCGTCCTGGATGAATCGCGAGAAGTCTCGAGCGACAGCGCGATTCCACATGAATCATAAGAAAATCCACAGCAAGAGCGTGACTCCTGAGTGTCGAGGGCGCGGCGTCTGAATAAATTGCGAGGAAGTCCCACGCGAGAGCGCGATTTGGGAATAACTTGCGAGGAAGTGTGAGGCGGGAGCCGTTGCGCTGCCCACTGAGGCCCCGACTTCCTACAGAGGCCCCACACGCGCCCGCAGAGGCTCCTGCCTACAGAGGCGCCAAGCGCGCCGAGGCACCCGCACGCTGCCCACCCACAGAGGTCCCGAGCGCGCCCACGGAGGCCCCAGCCCACAGAGGCCCAAACGCGCCCACAGAGGCCCCAAGCGCGCCCACAGAGGCCTCAGCACGCTGGCCACTCAGGCCTCAGCCCACAGGCCCTAAGCGTGGGTCCTGCATGAATCGCGAGGAAGTCTCGAGCGATAGCGCGATTCCCAAGTAAATTACCACAAAAGCAAATGCGAGAGTGTGATTCCTGAGCGCCGAGGGCGCATCATCGTCTGAATAAAATGCGAGAAAGCCCACGCGAGAGCGCGATGCGTACACGAATTGTGAGGAAGCCCCGCGCGAGAGCGCGATTTGGGTCTGAGTAAGTATAAGGCGGGAGCCGTTGTTGTTGTAAACTGGGGGCCAGGGGCCAGTTTGAGCATAGTGACTTTCCCTGATAAAAAACAGGGTGTGAGCCCCGGGAGAAGCAATTCAATTGAAAAACAAAATGGTCACCGGAGGGGGGATCAACATCAACTATTCTTCCGTAGTGAGAGTTCATTAGCAACAACAGCAACAACAACAACAACGACAACGACAACGACAACGACAATAACAACAATAACAACAATAACAACAACAACAACAACAACAACAACAACAACAACAACAACAACAACAACAACAACAACAACATCAACAGCAACAATAGCAACAACAACAAGAACAACAAGAACAACAACATCAACAACAACAGCAACAACAGCAACAACAACAACCATAACCACAACAACCACAACAACAACAGCAGCAGCAGCAACAACAACAATGTTAAGACTGTTCGCTCTTACCCACTGGCGTGCCATTTAACACGTATATCCCAAGCCCTCGGTGCCCGCCCTCTTCGTCTTCGATCGTCTCCCCTTGGGAGTATATATTCCTTACCTGCCACGCGAACTTGGTGCAGCCCCTGAAACAGGGGAAGAGAGGTCGGATGGAAGGGTGAGGGAGATGGAGACCGGGATTATCAGGAGAGGGGCTAGGAGCAGAAAACACGTGGCAGAACCAGACGGGCCCATCGGGCGAGTAGACCCTAACAGGCGGGTTGGGGATGCGGGCCCAAGCGGCCAGGTCGAGAAGGCGTGCTGCTGAAGCGTAGATCTGCATTAGTTGCGAGGAGAGCCCGAACGCAAGTAAATCGTGAGAAATGCCAGAGCGAGAGCGTGATTCCTGGGTGTCCAGGGCGCGGCGTCTGAATACATGACTTGGAAGTCCCACGCGAGAGCGCGACTTTTTCATAAATTGTGAGGATGTCCCGCGCGAGAGCGTGATTTTGTGATACATTGTGAGGAAGTACAGCTTGGTGGCACCTCGCTTTCCCTTGTAAAAAAAGGGCGAGCCCAGGGAGAAGCACTTTAATTCAAAAACAAAATGGTTACCAGGGAGGGGAGATAAACAACAATTAGACATGATACTTCAACAGCAGCAACAACAACACTAACGACAACGACACCGACAATAACAACAAAAACCAAAACGAAATCAAAAGCATGAACAAGCACAAAAACAGTAACCACAACTACAACAACAGCAGCAACAACAACAGCAACAACAACAACAACAGCAACAACAACATCATCATCGAGAACAGCATCAGCAACATCATCATCATCATCATCATCAGCATCATCATCATCATCATCATCATCATCATCATCATCATCCACAACAACAACAACAACAACAACAACAACAACAACAACAACAACCACAACAACAACAACAGCAACAGCAACAGCAACAGCAACAGCAACAACAACAAGAAAAAGACGAGTGCCGTGATCTTTTCGCGAAGCGAGAGGGTCTGGGTGCAAAATATATCAGAGCGAGGGAGCCAAACGGTCTTGCACCATCTCTGGGTGCGTGGGTGAAGTGGGGTTTTGTGGCCAAGATTATGCGTTGCTCGATGCTTGTTGTTGCTGCTGTTGTCATCACCCCACCCGCGGTCCACCCGCGACCCACCCCGCGACCCGCCCCGCGACCCACCCGCGACCAGCCCCACCTATAACCCACCCCGCGCCCGCCCCCTCACTCTTATCCGCAATCGCGGGCTGCTACGGTTGGGAACTTTTGCTTAGCGTGTCGCGGCGGCGGCCCCAGCGACACGCTATGCCCTGCGAGCGGATGGCGTGTCGCTCCGCTCCGCGGGGGCGGGAGGCCCGGAAAGCTCGGGATGTTTACGCCTGGGGACCGCGAAATGGATAGGGTGCCGCGATGAAGCGTGGTGAGCCAGAACCGGCAGAGCGACACGCTATCCAAAAATCCCCAACCAAGCCCCCGACCTCCCGCTGCCCCTGCCGCTGCCGGTCCAACCGCGGCCCTGCCCCGCCTCTCCCCCATCGGGAGAGGGGAGGGGACCCCCCGACCAAGCCAGGGAACCTCCTCCGCCGCCCCTTCTCTCCTTCTCATCCCCCGCTGCCTCCTCCCACTGCTCCCCTCCCGCCCGCTGCCCCACAGTTCCCGACCGCGTGTGCTTTCCTCCTCTGGCCGCCGCCGCCCGGCGGCGCGCCGTCCGGCGACGCGGGCGAGTCGTCGCCCCGCCGCGGGGCCCAGGCGCCGCCAGAGGCACGCGCCTCGGCCGCGCCGCCGAGGTGCCCCAGCGCCTCGCACGCGGCCCTGCGCACCTGCCAGGGGGGGAGGCGAGGCGCACGCTCGCCTCTGCCTCGTCGGCGGGAACGGGAGGGGGGAGGAGGGCGGGGGGGGAAAGCAGAGGAGCAGGGGGAGAGGGATGATGATGATGATGATGATGATGATGATGATGATGATGATGATGATGAGGAGGAGGAGGAGGAGGAGGAGGAGGAGGAGGAGGAGGAGGGGGAGGAGGAGGGGGAGGAGGAGGAGGAGGAGGAGGAGGAGGAGGAGGAGGAGGAGGAGGAGAGCCCACGCACAAAAGAAAGCGTCACTCGACTAGAGACACTACTCAGACAGACACCCGACGACCTACAGGCCAGCGACACAATTATACAAGAACCATGACTGGTCCAGCAGATCAGTACCGACGACAAGCAAGCACAACACCGACTCAAGAGCGCAGAAGACCCCATGCAGCAACTACAAACAGCCAATGACTACCTTTCAACCGACTGCCACAACATAAGATAACAACTACTAGCAGCACAAAACCTCGAACAGCAAGCCACTCGCACAGAACAGATTGCTATACAACATGCCAACAACGAAGAAGAGCACGCACAGCTCACAGCAGCCCAAACGGCACAAAGAAACCAACAAATGGAAGGAGCCACAACACAACTGCTGCACTACCACACCGCATTGCAGCGAGCCAAGCAAGAGCATGCGAAGGCATTGGTCGACCAAACCACAGCACACAAACGGCACGAATGGACTGAAGAAGAATACATGACGACTATCGCTGAGCTGCGACTGGAGCTACAAGCAAAACACCAGTTACTGGCAGTCGAATCACCACACGAAGAATACCAGTACCAGCAAGACATCGACCAAGCAAAGAGAACAACATAACAACACATTCAACACACCATACAAGCAGCACTAGAGCAAAGACAAGCACCATACATCAACATGGCCGAGCAAAGGACTCGGTTGCTAAAACAACGTCTGCAACAAGAGGCGACCACACTACGCTGCCAAGAGCAGCACCTAAGAAGACATCCAGAACAGCATGCTGAACAAGAGTCTAAAGATCATACGCCCAAGCAAGATTCGACCAAGAAGTGATAGCAGCATGAGAAGCAGTCAGTCCGAGATGTTGCATGATGGCCCTCAATTGTTCCCTGTTAAACCGCTCATAGGGAGTGAGGGGGGCTGAGCATGCCGCCGAGTCCCACGACCCTAGAGAGGTCAGCGGGGGTGTGTATATTGGCGACACGAGGCCATCTAGCCAGCACTCCGAACGGTCTCGCTGCCACTCCGCGGACCTGAAGGAGAGGCTGAAGCAGGGGAGCGAAGTGCGGGCCGAGGCATAGCCAGAGCGCGAGGGATGTCCATTTGTGCGCTCTCTCTGGGGGTCACTCCTCACATCGCAATCGCCTGACAGCGCGCTGGGCGGCGTCTCCGTCGATGGAGCTCCGGCCCGCAGGCGGGGGGGGCGGCTGGATACCCGCGGCCTCGTCGTCCCTCTGGGCCGCGTCCAGCTGCCTAATGATGCGGTCCATGAGCCAGTCGTCGCCGAGTTCGGTGGGCTGCTGATTGGTGCCTGTGGGGGGGCGCTGAGGGTCTGGCGTCCTGTCCGCCTGGCCGTGGTGCAGGGCCTCCCAAGGTCTGGGCAGCGGGACAGGGCCTCTGTCGCTAGGGGGGGACTGCGGGAATCGCCGAGAGCCGTTCCTGGTATTGTTCCTTGCTGCTCTCGCCCGGGCGCGAAGGAGGACTGCCTCCCTGTCACCCGATAGGATGTCAGACTGGAGGGCGCTGGAGGGATCCTTGCGCTCCTGAAATCTTGGCGCTATATATCCCCCGAGGTTTGGGGCGGAAAGGGGGGGGAGCCAGGGGGGAGCTGGCGGTTGTGCTGAACAGTGACGGCGACGATCGTGCTCAGCGCGTCGGCGGTTGACCTGGGCCCTCTGGCTCTCCATCAGTTCCGTGCGTTCTCTAGGTCGAAGCGAAGCGTGGAGAATTTGCAATAGGTCGCAAGGGTTATCAATCGTTCGCAATATAGAGAACGGTCTGCACGGTAGTTTGAAAGGACTGAAGTAGTTGTAAGCCAGAGCAGGACCGATGCCTGGCGCGGTGCAGGCTCTCTTTGACTGCGATTCGCGGACGTGGGGACAGATCAGTGCGACCGTTCTACCGAGGCGCCCCGCGTGCTTTGGCGACGGCACCGTGGAACGCGCGGGAGCACCCTTGGCGCTCTCTTGGGATTTGCCAGTTGTACTGCTTCCAGCTGTCCCGAGGGCGCCCGTGGTAGCGCGCGCCAAGCTGCGCAAACAAGGGATGGCGCGCGGGCCAGCCCGCACAGTGGCTAGTCCAAGCCTGCGGGCGGGGCAGAGACTCGGGCCAGGGCTTGGGCCGAGATGCGAGGTCATCGCCCGTTCCGCACACTTGCACTCCGCTGTCGCGTTACTTTCAGGTGTGATCACAGCGCACGTGGCGAAGTCTCTGCACTCGCAAGGGTCCAAAAACATACTCCTGCACCTCGGACATTTAAGGTCCCAGGTGCAGCACGTTCAGGACAACAGTAGGTGCAGTAGGTCCTAGGTGCAGTACGTTGTCCTAGATGCAGTAATAGCTACAGGGTTGTTTGGTAGCCCCTGTATGTTTGCGTTGCCATGTTTTACTTGCTGGGCGGCCTTCCAAGATGGCGCGGGGGGGGTACGAAGGCATGGAGAGCGTCGTGGACGCCCTCCTGGCCTCCAAGAAACCACTTAGAAGCCTCCAGGGCCTTCTGGGAAGGCCCCCGACTTCTAAGAAGTCCCTCGCCTTCTTAGATGGCCATCCCCCTCGCGCCACCCAAATTGTGCGAGCCGCCAACTACTGCACGCCCTCCGAGGACCCTACCAGGCGAGGGGGGCAGAACACCAGTGGCCGCCAGCGGCCACGCTGGGGTACCGTCGGTACCGCTTCCCCCGACGGCGGCGGCCCGCCACGAGGCGTCTCTCCAAACCAGCAGGAAACAAAGAAGGCCAGGCAGATCGTCTTTGTTCGCGACACGGTCCTCTGGACTTTTCGACCCGCTCCCTGGGGGCAGGCCTTTTATCCAGGATCGTGTCCTGACGGCCCCAGGGCCCGAAAACGGCCTCCAGAGGCCCAAAACAGCGAGAACGCGTTCGTCCTGTTTCTGCTCGCTCGAGCCGTCTCAAAACTACTCGAGAGCATGCCAAGACGTGCATGGCCACCGTCACCGTCGCGCCGCCGACGCCGCCGCCTCCGCCTCCGCCGCCGCCGCCGTCCGCCGCCGCCGTCCGCCGCCGCTGTCGTGGAGGACGCCGCCGTCGTCACTGCCGCAGTCACTGGCCGTCCCGCCGCCGCCCGCCGCCGCCGCCGTGGAGGACGCCGCCATCGTCGCCACCGTCCGCCGCCGCCTTCGGCGTCGCGCGCCGCCGTCGTGGAGGCTGGCGCCTGCCACGTCTCGTCTCGCAACAGCTCCGCCACGGCGCTGGCGTGGGCAGCCACAACGTTCGCGCCCAGCTGCCCGAGCGCCTCGCATGCCGCCCGTCGCACCTCCAAGGCCGCCCGGCTGGCTACGCCACTCCTGCTCTCCCTCCTCCCCCTCCTCCTGCTCCTCCTCTTCCTCCTCCTCCCCCTCCTCCTCCTCCCTCCTCCTCATTTTCCAGCTCCTTCTCCCCCTCCTCATCCACTCCCTCTCCTCCTCCTCCTGCGGCCGTCGGCGACGACTCGCCGGCGGCCTGCCGCGGCCCGCGGCCAACCTCGAAGGCCCTCGTAGGCCGACTCAGCTGCCCTTGCCGCGACCCTCGGAGGCCTCGGCCGCTGACCCGAGGTTGCCCGAGGATGGAGGAGGGACCAGGGAGGAGGTGTGAATGGGGTTGAAGTACAAGGGTACAGAACCCCTGATCCGTTGGTAGAGGGAAGGAGGGATAGATGGATGTTTTTTCCCTCCTGCACGATCAAAGGTATGATCGATCAGTCCCAAGCGTACTTGGGAATTCCCAATACCTGAGCCCAAACGGCCAGGCGCAGGAGAGGTGAGGATAAGGAGTACTATATGAGGGTATTACACGGTATCTATTCACACCCCCCGCCCCGAATCCCGCCCGTGAGGGTAGGACTCGGGAGCAGAGGAAAAGAATCCGTCACCCTTTTACTCCGTCGATCCTCAATTCAGTCAGGCAGCTGAGCTTAAACATTGTATAGCCTCAGCTGCAAGGTGAAGTAAGAAGGAGCACCCAGGGTCTCTATTTCTTCGCCAAGCACGCTTTGGTGCCCCCCCCGTGCGCCCCCCAAAACGCTTCGGCACTCGAGGGCGGAGAAGAATGAGACACGGGTGGGCGGAGAAAGAGGATCTGAGCAAGTTAAAGCAACATCAAAATCTGCCTCGCTTTACGCGAGGCAGGTGTTGCCACCAGCTGTTAGATCATTATCAACGCGATGGAAGCAGACTCTAAAGAATATGCCTTCTGAGATCGTGTTGATGAACACGATCGTGTTACGAAACGCATCTATATATCAAAGCAAATGTCTGGCCAGACAAAAGGTCGTGTTGATGAACACGAAAAGTTGCATATATATATATATATAAATTCTCTATTTGGCGACTCCCGTTGGCGTTGCGCCTTAGGAGGCTGCCTTGGCTATCGCAAAATATGCGTGTATGTGTGGCCACTTGCGTTGTATAGTGAAGCGGCCTAGAAGTATATAATAGCCACCGCTCAAGGCGAACTTGTATTATAATGAAGTTCAAGCCTTTCGAGCGGTGGGCCTGGCGACCGACTCTACTACGTGTTGCCGTTATCGTAGAACCTGCGGTCCCACTTCCTGTGGCCATCGTACGTCACGCAGCTCGTCGCGAACGTCTCCCAAGATGTCCTCGGAATCCAGTGGCGAAACCACTTGTTGTACTGGATGCCGCGGACGCATACGAACTCGTCGTTGTTGAGCGCGATGTAGATCCAGCAGTTGATGTAGTGGCTCCAGTACCTGAGGCCCCAATGGCTGTCCTCTGGGTCGTCGCGCCACCAGGCGGCGTAGTCTGTCGCACGCGCCCTCTTGGCGCGAGGTCTGTAGCTGTCATCGCTGTCCTGCCGCTGCGCTGCAGTGCCGCGCGGCCCCGCGGGCATGTGGTCCGCCGCGCCAGAGGCGCTGGACCGTGCAGCATCGCCAGGGGCAGGGCGCGGCGGCGGCGGATGCCGCGGCATGCGTGGCTCCATGACATCATCAGAGTGCTGGGAGTGTGTATCAGGTTCGATCGGATCGGTTCTCATCCCTGAGTCAACCCCCCTCTGGTCAGTGGGACCCAAGGCGGGCTCAACATAAGCGAGCGCGGCAAGCTTGCGCTGCGTGACTTTCTCACGGGTGCCATCCCCCCTGGGGAGGGCAATCGCGACGAGTCCGCGTGCCTGCCGCGTGCTTCTGTCGAGTCTGCCTTCGTTCAACCACCATTTCTTTCGACAAGCCTGGCCAGCCCTTTTGCTGGTCTCGAGAATTTCACATGCATCGCGCATGTCCTCAACTGTATAGGCCTTCAGGCCTCTATTGATACGAGCGCCTGTCATTTGGTGGTGGAACTTCAAATCATTGAGAAAGCGCTGAACGAGATTGGCAAATGGATGGTACAGAGGTCTGTCGTCTTCACGCTCGCCCATCAATCTGCACCCATGTGCAGGAGGGGAGCCAGAGGCGACCCACTTCTGATACCTCTTCCTAGCGGAATTGGCCATTCTCCTCAGCCCATCTTTCTCATTGCCTGGAAAAGAGCGCTTGCCCGTCATGATGACCTGCGCTCCGTCTCTCATGTACCTCGTGATGTCATCCTGGGAGAGCGTCGTCTTGATCCAGTGGGTCAGCTTCTGGAGGTATGCCAGATCGCTCTGGACGGCGGTACTTTTACCCGTAGCACCTACGGATACAGTGCACTGCCAGCAGATGTCACAAAGGGTACCGTCGTCCGCGACGATCCCTAGGAATAAGATGCGATCGCAATTCCGACATCGCGCGATATCATGCTGAATAGCTTCTGGGGCTCCGTCAATCGTGAGATGCCCACGAGATCCCCAGCGAGCTTCCTGACCACGAGCAAGACTGCGGCCGATCTGATCCATGGCATCGCGGTTGATCCCGGCGTTCGGTCGGGAAGCGATCGATCTGCTCATTCCCTCGATCTCGATCCTAGACAATCTTTCCCCTGGCAGTCCTATGCGCTCGGTCGTGTCGTTGCCCGCGTCCCCAGTATCACCATGGCATACGTTTTCTGCACGGATACGGCTAGCCTTTTCCTGCAAGGCGGACTCGTTGTCACCCTCCTCGCGGCTGATTCCCTTCTGTTCGGCTATGATCCGTACCATGGTTTCCTGATCGGGAGCTGCGGATGCAATGCTGCCTGGATCGCGGGGAATGTCCTGCTCCGCGCCTGGGTCACGTGGCGCGGCAGGTGTTTCCACCAGCTCCGCCCATACGGGGAAGCCTGGATTGCCGAATGTCTTGATGCAATGTGTAAACAGATCACGCAACGTCTGGAGTGCAGGATGGTTCTGATGAATAGCATCTTTTGTGAAATCACGGAGCTCCCCAATACTGTCCAGCAATATGATTTGATACACTTTAGAGATCCATTGGAAGACGCCTGTAGTCGACTCCTCGATGGTCTCTGGGTCCAGGTAGTGTACCAGCTTTTTGAAGAAGCCATCTGCACTGCAAATTGATAAGTCGCGTGCCCATTTGTGGGTATGATTGTAATCCAAATAGTATGTCTCCGCGTTCCATGCTTTGGATCCGAATTGAATTTCAAATCGTAAGTGTGATTTTACGTTATCCACCACATACCTGTCCGCGCCAGTGTGCACCTCAATGATTTGTTTCACCTTTATCATAGGTGATTCCACCAACAACTGTGATGTCCATCGGTATATGCGGTGGTCATATGATTGTTTGGTCCACTTTAAGTCCTCCTCTGGGTCGTAGTCGGGGTGGTTGAGGAAGTCTTCTGGCGGGTCAATAATATTGTCGAGGATGCTCGCGTCGACGTGCTCATCTGCTTGGATCTCTGCTGATAGATCTGCTCTCATATTGTCATGTGCTGCTTTCTCCTCGGCAGTGAGTGGTATCTTTGATATATCCACAATTACAGTAACCAGGGGTTCAGCAGATTGGCCTGCCTTTTGTTGGGGTCCATCGTCCGCGGGAACAGTATCCTCGGCAGGTGTGGCCACCAGCTCTTCGGGACCGGGTGTCCGAGGAGCGGGCCGTCTGGTCGGTGCACGCGGGATACGTGGCTTGTAAATGCTTGGCATTCCGAGATATGGCAGATCACCATCTGTTTTATGCTGAAGTATTTTGTCACGGCATGAGGATGGTCCTTCCAGGGCAGTATTCATATCTGTCGGGCCAATGGCGGCACGAACTGGTAAAGCAAAGACAACGCCCTTGAGAGGCATGCTTTTGTCATTGTACCATATGTCTACCCATCGTAAACCGTAGTTGAGGATATGTATTTGTACCGCAAAGAACTTGTCAAAGACTCCGAAATGAATGATTGGGCCGTATATGTGGCCCTTGTTCATGAGGACCTTGGTGTTGTGATTGCCCTTGGGGTAGTGATTGTCATAATGATAACAGTTGGTAGATCCCCAATTCTTAGTGACAATGAAGTCCCCCATGCGAACATCATTAAATATAGGCCGACGATCCCAATCTTTCTGTGAAATATTTGATGTAATGGGTCGAAGTGCCTCTCGGCAGTATGGCATAGCAATTAACAATTCTTTATCTTCTGTTTTGTGTTCGGTGTCGTCGATCATAGCACGGACCATTTGTTCGTCCAAGGCGTCGGCGCCAGATATGCGGCCAGCAGGGGTTGCCCCCAGCTGAGGGGCAATCGGTCGCTGAGCCGAAGATGCTGATGCTGACGGCGTCCTTGGCTGCTGATCCATGTCGCGATCCATGTCAGCTGGTGTAATCCCAGGAGGGTTTTCGGTGAACTCTTGTCCAGGAAGAACGGCACAAATTTCGCACTTGCTCAATGGTTGCCTCGCGGCCAATGGCGGATAATCCCAGGGCGGGCCCTCCGGCCATATCTGCTGGCCGAGCGCGTGGCGTGGTTGGAGACGGCGAATTACAATGACCGCCGCTGCTGGAATCACGTCCTCTGTCATAATAGCGCCTTGAGCGCCCAACCAAAATCTGCAACCAGCTTTTGTGGCGATCTCCATGTTGATCACCAACTCGACCTCGTTCTTGTAGTGATTGAACTTGTATGACTGTACCAAGGTGTGGAGATTATTCTGGACATTGTCTATATATGTGCTGGAACTGAAGAATGCCTCCGTGCGTTGTGATGGTTTATGATATTTGCCTCTCTGAGAAGACGGATCGACGTAGCCTGGAATGATCCCTGTCTTCAGGATGTTGCGCCAAGCACGGAATGTCGTGCCATGGTGGAGGTATTTCACGTCTGTCCATTGCAGGCTCTCCCAACCCATATTCCATGGTTTGGAAAGTGGATTGACGCAACTGTGGCCTCCAACACATCGAATGGCAATAACGCTGTT